ATAGATAGATAGATAGATAGATAGATAGATAGATAGATAGATAGATAATCCCTGGCGTAATGGAAAATTACACCTATTTGTGTAATATCAGGGTGGGTTCTTCAAATATCAATGGTGGGTGGGATCCACCGGAAAGAATGGTGAGTTTCGAAATCATCATTCAAAAGAAGTTGGCTATCGTGTGTTATCTGGAAAGTTTAAGTTGTAAAGGGAAACATTATTTGTCTTATGGGACTAGTTCATCTGATGTAGCAATTCTATTTTCATCAGGACTTGATTTAAATGTCATTTCCTGTACTGAGTTAGTCCCAGGCATGGTGCTGATTGTTAGAGCACAGACGGAATTTTGTTCTTTTTGTTTAATTAACATTTATTAACCAAAACCAGGGGTAAGTACACACTCTTTTGAAGCAGACAACTCAATATGAGTGGATTGTGATGGAAGGGGATTCAAACTGCACTGAATAACATGAAATAACAGGCAAAGAACCCCATATTCCATCATCTTTTAAACTTGCTTGGATTACAACAGAATGTAACTTGGTTGATGCTTGGAGGATTAAACACTCTCGGGGTAAACAGTACACATGGGCAAGAATGAAGGATGAGGCAGAGGGTGGAGCCATGTTAGACATATTTTAGATCTCAGATAGATTATCTTACTGTTTAATGTGTCCAGTTAGTTTCTTTTCAGAGACTTGTTGTGGCCCATCCTCAGGGATGCCATCTCTGCCATAGAGACACCTTGGGAAAATGACCAGCGGCTTCAAGACTGTGGAGTTGTGGGACACAAGCGGTTCCTTGTCCCCATAGACACCAGGAATCTGAAGCCACTGCAGTAGCAGCTGAGGGCAAAAGCAGAAGTAGGCAGGAAGATCTGCCTGTACCTACACCTGCGGAGCTGATGGCTTCAGACAGTGTTTTAGGTAATGGTGATGGTAAATATTCTGAGGATGTTGGAGGTCACGTTGATTCTGTGGGGGTCAGTCGGCCTGAGTGTGATGATGAGATAAGTAAACAGGGTGCGGTGTCAACGGTTCCACGGCTACGAATGGTGATACTGCTGGCAAGTTGGCAAGTGGTTGTAATTCCAATCCAGGCGTTTTCGCGAGACCCAGTTTTAGCTCGGATAGGGCGATTGGAGAGGGTTTGGTTGCTGAAGTGGGATGCCATGTGAATCAGGTATACCCGGATTCCAGAAAGTAGCAGAAAAAGTTAAACCGAGCACTGACGTATAAGAAAGACTGGTTGCCATGGTGATTATGTAGTGACTTTTGAGTGTGATGATGAATCAGATTCTGATTGTGTTTCTGTTGCAGAGAATCTTTCTCAAACGGAAGATTTTTATTCTGTGGAGAAAATAAATTATTTTCCAGATGATAGTTATGACAGATCGGTTGATGTAACAGATTATTTTCCTGATGTGGGGAAGTTCATCAAGTCGGTACAGAAAATACAAAAGGTTGTTGGTCTAGATGTCCTTGATGAGAAGAAGAGATACCGCTTGAAGAAACTAATATAAGAAGGGGACAATGAGCCAGTAAATCTAAAATGAGGAAGAAAACGAAAGCATTTGAATAAAATCACCATAGTTCGACATCACTGGGTGTTTCTTATTTTGTGGCTATTCTTGGGTTTTCAACTTCCTTCTTTTCAGATGCGAGGTTTAAGGGTAGCTTCTTTGAACATAAATGGAGGGAGAGATCACCAGAAAGGAGCTTTGATTATGGATCTATAAGACAGCAGACATTAGGTGTAGTGTATTTGCAAGAAACACACAATGATAATGTAATTGAATTTTAAATCTATCAGTCATCTCCTGTAGAACCAGGTTCCAGTTTGGGTTTGTGAGGTAGGCATCATCTCTGCACTTAAAAGTAGGCTTAATACTTTTCTTTTTGATAAAGCTTATAGTTAGGGCTGGTTTAGGTGAGTCCATCCTTGGTTACGCTGCTATAGACCTAGACTGCCGGGGGATTGCCCATGATGCACCGAGCCCCCCTTTCCTCTTCTCTTTCTTTCTCTCAGTGCAACCGCAAGCATGTTACTAACCGACTTTTTGCCTTTCCGGTTGTGGTGTGCATTCTCGTCCCTCTCCACTCTCCTCCTATGACTTCCTGCAGGTGTTCCTGGCTCTGGAGCTGTGGAGTCTGGATCTATGTTTGGGAGTCTCCTCCTATCACTTCCTGAAGGTGTTCCTGGCTCTGGAGCTGTGATTGGAAGTCTCTTCCTATCGCTTCCTGTAGGTGTTCCTGGCTCTGGATCTGTGGAGTCTGGATTTGTGGTTGGGAGTCTTCTGTCTTCTTTGTACAACTTTTGTCAGCACCACCACATCACTAGAAAACGTAATACTCCTGATATTAGGATGCTAATTTAAATCCAATAGCCACCATGAGGTTACAAGTTGCATAACTGAGAATGAAGATCAAATCATCACTGTTCTGTCTGAGATGGCAAAGGATGATGATGCTGTGGTGGTTCTGTGCACTGAAGAATCATTCCTGCTCTGTCAGATTAAGATGCAGCACTCTTTGAAATTGGCAAGTTTCAGGTTCAAGTTCTTGGTCTACTGAAACCAGCAAATGCCATTCTACAGTCTCACTCTGTGGATATGTGAAGATCCTCAAACATTGTTGGTACAGCACTGGATTCTTTGAGGGCCATGAGGGGTAACAGTGATGAGTGGGGAGAGGGAGATCACCCAGCAGCTGGGGATGGTTCTGCAAAGAGAAGGTGAACAATTAATAAGCACTTCGGTAACATTTTTGTAATTACTACAGTGGGCCACACAGACACAGATGACAGGATGACAGTGCCCCCCCCTTAGGTCAAGAATTTATGTCAACAGTACACACATAGATCTACTTACATGTTAGGATGGCAGTTTGACGATTAGAACAGGAAATATTTGGATTTGGAGAACGTCTCCTATGTTCAATGTAGTCAGCAGGATTTATTGTTGGTAAAAAGACTGGAATTAAGTTCCTTTCTTCAATAGATAGCTAAAGGGTCCCTAGTTTGAGCACATTTCACCAAGCTCAATGATATGGATGTACCAACTACATTTTTTAAAACTTGGAAAGGTCCATTGAATTGAAGAAGAAGATGGTGTGCCTTTGCTTGCCGTGCGGTGAACAAAAACCACCATGAGAAAGCCCACAAGGGAATCTTATGACACTCTCTTCTCTTTGTAAAGCGCTGTGAGATAACTGCTGTTGTGATGTGGCACTATAGAAATAAAATGGAATTGAATAAGGCTGCATGTAAAATAACTTTTCTGCTGGGTTCCTGAACTTTCTTCAGAGGACCAGGAGACTCTAAAGAAGAGTCTCTGGAAGATCTCTGGGACTGGATGCATTACCAACAGAATGTATTAAACATTTCTGGAAGTTATTGGTTAAAGATTATTTGGATGTTTTAATGACTCCTTTGAGAAAGGGATTCTCCTCTCTGCTGCCTAAAAAGGGGGACTTGGCCACTCTTTAAAGAACTGGAGACCAGTGATTTTTTGCACTGATTATACAATTATTTCACAGGTGTTGTCTTAAGAAGGTTATTGATAGTCAAAGTCCTCCGTAATTGTGACATCTTATGCTGATTTTGTAAATGTTTTTGTTAGTGATCATGATGATGTTTTGGAATTGAAGGAAAGTTTAGTTTTGTATGAAAAGGCTTCCTCTGCTAAGGTCAGCTGGGGTAAAAGTAATGCTTTCTTCGTCAGTAACTGGCATACAGGTGATATCCAACAATGGCATGGAAGTTCAGGCTGGGGATGGAATAGGATTAAAATTCTGCAAGTATATATAGAAAGTGATGACTTTCAGTGACAGAATTGCGAAGGTGTGCAGGATAAAGTGGAACCTAAGTTGTCTAAATGGAAATGGACTCTACCTCAGCTGTCCTGCAGAGAAGCTCACCAATAATCTGGTTACCTCTTTTCTGTGGCATAGGCTTGTCATGATGATCCCTCCAGATGGACTTCTTGCAGACATCCAGCGTCTCATTGTGGATTTCTTTTGGTCTGGGCATCACTGGCTTCTGTACTGTTCCTACCTGCGTCAGAAGGGGGATAAGGACTGACAGATATCATGGCTAAGACTGTGGCATTTAGATTTCACACTGCTCAAAAGCTACTTTATGGAAGTGCATATAGTTGGCTGCCTTTGGCTTGACTTATTCTCCAGAAGGCTGGTTGTCTGGGACTGGATAAACATCTTCTGCTTAAAAGATGTCTTCTGCTTAAAACCACCGAGCTTGACCTGACAGGATTGACAGCCTTTATTGCTCTGTAACTGATACTTGGAGAGCCTTAAATGTTTTCTGTGATCCTAATCATAAACCTGAGAAGTGGTTGTTTGAGGAACCTCCATCCATCCATCCATCCATCCATTATCAATACCGCTTATTCCCTCATGGGGTCGCGGGGGGAACTGGAGCCTATCCCAGTGGTCAACGGGCGAGAGGCAGGGTACACCCTGGACAGTCCGCCAGTCCATCGCAGGGCCACACACAGGACATACAAGGACAAACAACCACTCACACTCACATTCACTCCTAAGGGCAATTTCCCCAATCTCCAATCAGCCTAACATGCAGGTTTTTGGACTGTGGGAGGAAGCCGGAGAACCCGGAGAGAACCCACGCAGACCATGCAAACTCCACCCAGAAGGGCCCTGGTTCCCCCGGGATTCGAACCCAGAACCCTCTTGCTGGGAGGCGACAGTGCTAACCACCATACCACCGTGCCGCCCTGTTTGAGGAACCTTTATTTCAGTAATGACTTGTTGCTCAAGACTTTTTGATATCATAGTCTGCTAAGTTCATTCGAGCTGGGATGTTAAATTTGGTCACTGCGCAAGACTATCGATGAAAAGGATTGCTGACATTGTTCATATCAAGTACAGTACTTTAGCTGACCAATGGGTACGTATTTCCAGTATTTTTTGGTTGCTCTGGCTTTTGAGCGTTCAAACGACGGGAGTGGGCTGCGTCTTTCTCTGAAAATGCCTGTGTTGGGAGCTTTCAGTTCCTGTAGGAGGATGCACCTTTATTAAAGCTGTGTAAAGGGGAATGAATATATGCTCTCTGGCTGGTGTTAGGGAATTGAGATGGACCCATATTTTTGGTTTAGATCTTTCCCCTGTTGGCAAATGGAGAATTTTGTTTAAGCTGCGTGTACAAGCGGGTAGGAAACCTCCAGTGGAGGATTCTACATGGATCAGTAGCCACCAACAGACACAGGGTCCATTTTGACCCAAATGCCAGGCAAGAATGTTCCTTTTGTGGGAATCCAGAGTCACTTGAACATTTAGTTTGTTCACGGTAACAAGGTTTGTTCAGGAGTTTGCTAAACTGGGTAGAGGCCTTGGGTGAATAGACCAGAATACACTGCTATAAATCTATATTCTTTTAAAAATAATTTCTCTTTTGGAATGGCAAACTAGCTATTTGGAAAATTAGTAAAAACAACATTTTAGGGCAAGGTTGGACTGATGTGGTAGTAGGTTTTAAAGGCCTAGTTGCCTCCAGACTAAAATGGAAGTTGGCTTTTACTTTGACTTTGGCTATGATATTACTTGTAATTTGAAGGTGTTTACTGATCTTTTGAGCATTGGGAATGTTTTAAATTTGGTGGGAGAAGATGGCACATTACATTTGAATTTATAGCAGAGGTTTCAAGGAAGATATTGTCAAAACTGTATGTTTTTTATGATTGTGATATGAATAAAGATGGGTTGAAGGTCTTTCTTTCTCTCTTTTCTATGAACACGCATGGTTTTATTTCCTGTAATGGAGTGCTGATCCACCAGTGCCAGGTTTCAGATAGGTTTCATCCACCCTGCAACTCTCCGAGGGATTAAGTGGCTTTTAACAATGGACACACATGAGCCCTAAATAGGCCACAGACCAGTTTTGGGTAATTTTAATTTAATTCATCCATCCATCCATCCATCCATCCATCCATCCATCCATCCATCCAT